CCCAAGCCGAAGGCATAATACCCCATGGTGAAATTGCTGCTGGTTTTGTGCCATGCTCTGAGTATCATATTGACAATAATACCACCAACTTGTGCATTTATAACTGTCCATACTTTCACAGTGTTCCATCACAATGCACTCAGTGGGAAGTGGTGCCAACTGCACTTCCTTTCTTTTAAAAAAAAACGTAGCTGAAATTCTAGCTGTAAGAAACAGGATGGTTGATCTGAATTTTTTTCCAATTAGCTCAACTTCTGTCCCACATTTCCCGTTTAGCACTTACACACATAAGAAAAAGCTACACAGTTTCCCGTTTATTTTGTGGCTTCTTGGGGACTCCCAGTTGTAACATGACTCTGACCACAGGGGAGAAACTTGGATGTAAAAGAACACCTAGTGTAGCTGTATAGCAACAATCCTTGCTTACTTCCCAAACAAAAAAGCATCTGTGACTCAAATAAAAGAGCCACCTCCATGAGAGAAACAGCACACAGGTCCTGGCCTGACAGAATTGTAATAATTTGTCACCTCCACTTTTGAGACCTTTAGGTTCTGAGATATCAATTATCTTGGGCAAAAAAAAGCATAAAAAAGCAGCCCATGAATACCACGCTGTTTCTCTCGTAGGCTTTGGCTGATTCCTAACATGAAAAATAACACTGAATGTTTTTGCTCAAAACACAACCTCCTACTGAGGCTTTATGGGGGCTTTTTGACATGAAACGATAGGTCATGGAGACTGCGCCAATAAACAGATCACTGAAAACAAAGGTGTCATAATATTAAATGTCTGCTAAAACAGGGAATGCCAGTTTTACTAAGATCACAGGATACAGAACATCCTTGAATACTCCTGAACCAAATAAGCATTATATCCATTTTTAAGCTTTTGTTCAGTTTTCACAATAGCAAACTAATTATCTAAATAATTGTGAGGCTTGATCACGAACTAACTTTTTGAGACCCTCTTGTATGCAGCAATAATGATAAGTTCAATAAATTTATACTACTTTAAGTTCTCTAAGTGATCTAAGAATGTTATTCTGTCTCAGTTATATGAATCTTTTGTGATTTTTAAAAATTGTACCTGTTTTTAACCATACTCGGGTAAAAATACTTCTCAATTACAATAGAAGTATTGATTAATTAATCTAACAACAGAAAACTTCCTAATTCAGAGTAATCCGAGTTGCTGTGATCAATTATTCTTGTCATAGTTGATGAGGAAACATTGTTGTGGCCTGCAATGAGTTAACATTGACTTGAAAATGGTAATTACTGAATTTAATATACAAGGCTTTAAACACAAACTTTCTGTCACGTAACATCTGGGAAAATCATTTTCCACAAATTTCAGACACCTATTTCAGCTAATAGATTGCAGGCAATGGGTAAAGCTGTAATTTAACAAAGGCGTGCTGATAATGTGATAAACCAACATTCTAAAGCTCAAGCAAATATTATAGATGCTGGAAATCTGAAATAAGCACAAAGTATTGGAGAAGCTCATTACTTCTAGCACTATCTGTAGAGATAGAAACAGGGGATACCTTTCCCACATTTTGCCCAAGAGTCAACTTTAAGAAATTTATTGAGGATTTCCTTTTGTGTGTCTTGGTGACTTTTTTCGAACAATCCTCTGTTGCTCACTTCAATTATGTAACCTGCCCTTGCAGTGCCACCCTTGTACAATCCTGCCCTCATCAGTGGCAAAAATGCTCACCAGTGCTGGAACCTTACAATATTAACACCTTGGCATCATATTTATACCCCAGTGAACACTATTTCCCACTCAGCACTCACATATAAGAGAAAGCTACACAGTTTCCCCTTTCTTTTGTGGCTTATTGTGGACTCCCAGTTGTAACATGACTCTGACCCCAGGGGAGAAACTTGGCCTTAGTGTGTTGCTGTGCAATTTCAAATAACATGAGTGAGAGACGGAAGTTGGCGCCCACTTTACATACAGGGACCCGGAACCAACGTTGCCTTTCTTCTGCATGGCTGCACGTCTAGACATTCCAAGGTTCTACGCATGGCATCCATGTCATTTACTTCCAGTTCTGGAAGTTGCTGTAATGCATGGATCTCGGAGGCCCATATAGCCAGAAAGAAAATTACAGGGAACAGTGCCTGGTGTTGGAGTGGGGCGTTGGAGAGGACGAATGCTGTCTTTCCTCACAAGTGCCAGAAGAAGCCAGTCACTGCTGAAGTGAACTGGACTGAAGATGCCACTGAGGTTAGTACGATATGCCCAGCAGTTCAGAAAGAAGGTTAATGATCTTCAATGCTCAGCAAGGGTAAATGCCACCTTCTTCTCTCTGCTACTTCACACCCTGCTTACTCCGCCATTGCACCCACATCCCACCAAGGCTCATGGTCTACCACTATCATCATTGCCTGCAGTATTTTCCCTCACATGTCATCTACCACAATCCTTGAACCTCCAACCATCCCTCACCAACTGCTAAGTGTTCCTGCCCTTTGCACCTCCTTGTCATTCACTCAGGACACCTCACCATCCTTTCTGACTGAGGATAGACTAGCCCCCTAATTGATTTCTGTGCAGCTCCCCATTTGACCTACCAGTAATTCCTGGATTGGTTGTGTTTGGTATGCAGGACTAACCATTCTCAACCCTCCTAATTGAGACCAGATGATACCCTTGCCTGTGTTGGCACACCTGACTGAACATAGACCCCCTTGACTGGATGAGACCACACCTGGACTGCTGAGTCACATTTATTATGGCAACAGAGGAACACTTACATGTGTTCTGAGTTTTCAATTACAACGTGCAGTGCTTTTGTTTAAAGGATATGCACCCAAAAGACAACTACCAATGTAAATGTCTGGAGAGGGAGACCCTGGAATATCATGTTGATAAGGTATCAAGGAAGCTTCAAGGGATGAACTTAAAAGGAATAAATGCACATCAAACTAAACTGCATTCTTCTGGAAGTTATCTCATACTGTGAACATGATGAGAGAAAATATAGCAATCAGAACAAGAGACATGTTTTGTACCTTCCTTTTTTCAAGAATACATAAAGACAAGGATTAAAGACGAATTTACTCATGGTCTGTGTGTGCCAGCACGGGCTAGTGAACTGAGGTGCTCATGTATACCAGTGGGCTAAGGTACTAGCCTGGGTTTGAATAGTAATGTACTGTGAAGATCAGAGTTGAAGATCCACCCATTATTTACCCCTACATTACAGATGAAAGGCTTGTCAATCAGGGTGTTAAAAGCCAGCTAGTCACTCAATAGAAACAAGATAAAAGAAAGACAGGCATTCTTACTCTGAGTGCTGCCAGTCACCATCAACCAGAAACAGGAAATATAATTTTGCCTAATCTGCAAAAGCATGAATACCAAAATTGACTGGCCAAATATCAATGTTCCACTGTCTACTCCTCATGAGACTGTTCTGTATATCTTGTAAATTTTATTATTTCTTGGACTCCTTTCTTGTTTCTATTCTGCATGAATGTATGGCGTATTATAATTTCTTCTTGCATTTAGCAATTAATAAACTCACTATTTTGTTAACTAGGTGTCACTGCTTAAAAATAAGGGGTTGCCCAATTTAAGTAAAGATGAGGAAGTTTTTGTTCAACAGAAGGTCACGAGTCTTTGCAAGTGTCTTCCTTAAAGGGTGGTGGAAGCAATGTTTTTGAATGTGTTTAAGGCAGAAATGAATGGATTCTTGGTAAACAGGGAGGTAGAAGGTTATCAGCAGGAATGAGGATTTGAGGTTACAATCTGATCAGCAATGATATTATTAAATGAGAGAACAGGCTAGAGGCACTGAAGACTCCTGCTTCTTGTTTTCATTTGAGTGCAGAATATACCATCATAGAGTATTTACAGATGACGTACTGTTTTTAGGTAACGACTGATATTATAAGTACGCTGTTTTAGAATATAATTATGGGGCTGCGCTTGAAATAACAAGCAGGAAATATTTTCAGAATCTCACTTATATTCTTCATATCCCCACTATTCTCACACACTTTCCTGGGGGAGGCGATGGCCTAGTGGTATTATCACTGCACTGTTAATCCAGAGACCCAGATAATGTTCTGGGGATCCAGGGTCAAATCCTGCCACAGCAGATGGTGGAATTTGAATTCAATAAATATCTGGAATTAATGAGATGATCGTAAATTTATTGCCGATTGTCGGGGGAAAGCCCATCTGGTTCATTAATGTCTTTTAGGGATGGAAATCTGACCTCCTTACCTGGTCTGGCCTACATGTGATTCCAGACCCACAGCAATATGGTTGACTCTTAACTGCCCTCTGGGCAATTAGGGTTGGACAATAAATGCTGCCTGGCCAGCGATGCCCTCATCCCATGAATGAATAAAGGAAAAAAAAAACTTGCCAAAAAGATAGACATTTGCAGCAGTCTAAGGGAGAAAGGCTTTCAACCTGGATTTGATTCAGACTTGAATCCCAGAGGACAATATGTTAATTCACTGCACCTCCCAGTCTCAGAAACCAATAGGCTAATAATAATTTTCTCATGCAAAATATCCCTAGCAGGTTAAATATATGGTGTTTCTATTAATACTTTATGAGAAAAATATAGTGGAAGATTATCTGCACTTCTCAGGAAAAAAATTATCAGCCAGTCCATGCCATCAAAATCCCAAGGGTAGACCTAAGGATAACTATATGAAAAATTCAACTAGAAATGGCACAGCAAAGGCTGAGGGGTTTCCAACATCAAGAAGATGAGTCACTCACAGAACTTTGACAGCACACCTGAAGTCTCAGCTGGTTTCTATCAAGCTGCATTTCTACCTCTTTATTGTGTAAATTATTCCCCAGGAATTTTCTTTTGCTGATCTTGTTGTCAAAAAGAATTTCACAGAAAAGTACAGAGACAAAAGTTCGGGGAGGGATGGGTTGAAATGACAGGGTTAGAACCAGAGAGGAGCAAAGACGAGAAAGTACAATGACCCAGTGATGTAAAACACTGAAGTCTTACCTCGGTGTGTGAATGTGAGAATCCATTCTCCAATGAGCATCCAATGCAGCTATTGTTGGGAGAGCTGGGGCCAGATCCTGGAGCACTGTTACAAACCGAGGAACCTTTAAGAAGAAAACAAAAACCAAACCAGGAATTACATATATGCATGGGGAGAATGGGATTAGCAAAGGAGATATTTCCTTTGTGCTATGTATAATATTTTTGCTTTTCTCTATTTGGTGAAACTGAAGAGTCTTATCAATTCAGTTTAGTATTCTGAACTGATGGTGGAATTATAGGTCCTATTTCTCTTAATCAGTTGTAATTTTTATACATTATGAAATCAGTAGAGGATGGCCTTTATATCGACTTAGACATCAACAATTAAGTATGGTTTACAATTATCTTTCCTTGTAGTGATTCATGAAGGAATATAGTGAATTATGAAGACGTACTATTCCACAGGCACTGTCATCCTTCATATGTGTACTTGTAGGGAGCGGCCTCTGGTTGGGGAACATTAATATTATACAATGTGATGTTTCCACCAGGTATCTTCCCAAATGCACTTGAAGCATAGGTCATCATGTTGATCATGAGCTAGAAACCTGGCTAATTATTTCTCCCCTCTTGTTCCAAGAGAATTGAACTCAGTTGTAGTGTTTCTATCACCATGGTGGCTGGAACCAGTGAACTTAAAGTATGAACCTAAAACTCCAGCACTATAATTTACAAGGCATTTACTCATTGCACAATAGAGTAATTCATTGTTTTAACCTGACTTTTCTTCTTTCCTCATTCAGTAAGAAAAGCAAATGACTATAGGAAATCATGTTGAGAAGAATGAGTCATTCAACACATTAAGCTCTCTCCCTTCTTTAGAGGTCATATAATCAATACTATTCACAGCAACTAACAACTGCTAGAATTTTTAATGTCAGTGGAAGATCCCAAGCCACCTCATAGTGAGACTCAGACCGAAACAGGAGAAAACAAGTTGGTAAATGTGGCTACAAGAATTCTCATGGAAGTACAACTGTATTGTAGTTTTGAAGATCAGAGAAATGCAGCAAGAATTCTCCAAGCTGTTAATTAAATAATGAAGCATTATTTTCAAAGTCTTGAGTTACTTTATTTCTGCTACTTGTCACTATATTTTCAACCGATGTGTATTATTCTATTGACTGCCAATAGATGGGGCCTGTGTAACAGAAACATTTTAATTGTCTCATCCAAAATATTTTATATATATTGGCTATAGTACTAAATACAACAATCCTTGACTTTTTTCATCACGAAAGCAACATTGCAAACTTTAATCTTTCACTGAGATAAACATGCAGCACATTGGCCTTCTACATATGCACTGAGAATCAAGAATCACTAGAAAGACAATTCATGAGGTAAAGTCACTATTGTCCGAGAAGACCATGGGACTGCTCTTTTACTTAGAGAGAAATGACTGGTAGTGACTTTAACCTGAGGGTTTTCACATCTCAGGCAAGAGGAGAGGTTGAGAAGGAAAGTCCTCCATGGTTGCTTCAGCTGGTGTGTGAAATTGAACCCACACTGTTGGCATCACTCTGCATCACAAACCAACCATCCAGTCAATTGAGCCAATCAACAAGAACTTAATGAAGCCACCTAATACAGTTCAAGTGACAGATTAAAAAAGAACTGAAAAGAAATAACAGATATTCCAGATTTATTTCAAGGCTGTATTCTCACCTGAACTACTGATCACTCTTTCAGCAATGATGCTTTACAATCATATGAATATATCAATTCTGTCATTACTATTACTTCTCTAAAACACTTTAAGTTGGACTATGAAGTCATGGCTCAAATATGTAAATACTGGACTTTCTGCTGTGTTATTTTGTTATTGGTTACGTGTGTTAAAGTAACATCCAATAGAAAATTCAGACTGTCAAAGATGCACAGGGCCTTGTCAGTATATTTTAAATGCTAATGCCATCCTTTTTTCACATCATTGACTTGCTCACACCTTTCCAGATCATTTTTCAGATCATTGAATATTTATCCAGCTATCGGACTAGAATTCAACTGCTACAAAACAAAGATTGCACCTCAATGCACTGGACTATCCTTTTGGATGTATAAAGGCAAATGGACTGAATTTTGCTAAACATTGGCAAAGTGTCAATTCCAGGTGTTTCATGGAGGGTTTCTGTCTATGGGGTCTAGCGGATTTTCTCACACAATTCTCCGCTGTTCATCTCATTACGTGTGCTCCACATCCTAATGGCCCGGTTTGCATGCTCACCAATAACGGAAATATTTCCCACTGCCAAGATCTTCCAGGATATCCATTGCTGGTGCCATATTTAATGTCCAGCGATGGACCAGTTCAATCATTGAGTACTGTGATTGCTATTCGTGGTTGGCAAAGTGACAGGAAAACTAATAAGAAAAGTTTCTGAGGTCACAAGGGTGGCACAGATGTCACTTCATTTCAAAATAGAACCTCATTTGTAAACTGATTGCTATTTTACGTGATTACCTGTCTGATTGTCTGTAACAGTAACCACAGCCACAAGCATCAAGCTATGCAGGCTCTGTATCTTTATGGTGATACCATGTTATAAACCTTTCTAATGTCCATCATAGCATAACATCTTTCATTGCAGGAGTGTCACATGTTGTAAAGCCTTCAAACATTTGAAAATATTAACTGTTATTGAATAACAGAAAGAAAGCAAAGAAAAATCAGCGAAGAAAATGCTGCATTAGCTTCGGTGGATGAATGGAGCTGCCTCCTTCATGAGTAGCAACAAATTTATTGTCAATGAATGATCGTTCACCTAATTCTGATCAATTGGTATTGGGTGTCAATTATGTACAATCTGGTTTGTCATGCCTGATGCTACACTGCTCCATCATAAAAAAGGTGATGTTTCTCCTGCTGCATGTCCTCATATACCTCCTCAGAAAACTGCTGCTGCTCTCCCAGCTCCTCAGCATCCATCACATCCCCTCTCTGCCTCCTCCAGTTGTGCAGAGCACAACATCGAGGAATTCATCATAGAACCCCTACACCGTGGAAACAGGCCCTTTGGCCCAACAAGTCCACACTGGCCCTCAGGGCATCCCACCCAGACCCCATCCTCCTATAACTGATCTAATCTACACATCCCTGATCACCATGGGCAATTTAGCATGGCCAATCCACCTAGCCTGCACATCTTTGAACTGTGGGAGGAAACCGGAGCACCTGGAGGAAACCCGCACAGACACAGGGAGAACGTGCAAACTCCACACAAACAGTTGCCCGAGGGTGGAATTGAACCTGGGTCACTGGTGCTGTAAGGCAGCAGTGCTAACCACTGAGCCACCATGCCGCCCCGAATTATGTGACACATTCTGAGTTATACCGCAAAACACACTCAGATTGATCCAAACATCTTAACTTCAGCAGGCCTATCATCGGCTTTATGATAGCCTGGGATGAAGAAAAGGATGCTTTGTATTGATGTGCAGCCTCAGTCAGGAGATTGCATAACGGAGTCATCAGCCATAGTTGCAGAGGATAGCACTTGTCGCACAGTAACCATCCTTTTGAGGCATCTGGCCTTGAAATGAAGCACAAACCTGTGACTGCTCAATGATATAGGCTTCACAGCAGCTCCTGGGATATATCATACAGACTTATAAGACGCCAGGTAACTGGTCTTGTCCTCTTTGCCCATTATGTTGCAGAAAATGTTAAACTGTGATTTGCGAGTGACGTGAATGATGAATGCTCACATTAGTAAGAACCTATCCTATTTCTGAAACTCCCTTTCATTCCCTGTTATTCAGAGCCTGTCAGAATTCCACTTAGAAGTGAAGTAGTTAAGTATGCTAGTGATACGTGATGTCCTGTAATATCCTAATCCTGCAGCTTTACATAAAATCTTTCACCAAAAGCCCCAATCTAAAAGGATAGAAGAGGTCAAAGCCATTAGTGGAGAGAGTGAATATCATTAAGAGGAATGCCTTCTTACATCTTTTCTCCTTGCTGCAGATGCTGATTTTTCTGCATTCTGGTACAGTAAATACTTTGTACTTCATAAACCCCAAGAAAGGACAAAAATTGGTCAAGAACACCTATTTTGGCGTTACATTTAAGGTGCCCATCAACTTGTAAGACTTCTCCTTCCTATGGCACTGTATTGACCTTCCTAAGGACCTCAAGGATCTTAAAACATGACACCATAGGCATATCACTGGTGGAAGCTGTCTTCCCAACAGCTATTTGACCAATTACACATCAATTAGCATGACTCTCACCATACTTCTATCATTTTATAGAAAGCCCTATCATATTCAGTAAAAATCCAATGCAAATTGATCCCATAAAAACTATTGCTCTAAACAATAAAGCTGCTTCTCAGGCACACCTCAGCACTGATTGATCTATAAAACCTAAGTGACCCTAGACCAGATATATATTTAAGATGAAGTTTCAAAGGAAGCATTAAGAATGGCCATGACAAGATCAAAAGTCTCCAATCTATGTGCCTCAACCCTACCTTAATATGTCACAGAATCGCAGAATTGTTACAGAGCTGAAGGAGATCATTTAGCTCATTTTGTCTGCACCAACTCTCCAAATGAGCACTTTACCAAGTGCTATTTTCCTGTCTTCTCCCCATAACCCTGCATGTTATTTCTCTTCAAGTAACCATCTGCCTTTTTGGTAAAGCTAACTCCCTTTTGAATGAACCTATCTCCACCAGACTCTCAGGCAAGGTATTCCACTCTTTAACTACTCGCAGGATTTATCTCATATCACTTTTGCTTTTTCTGCCAAATACTTCAATTCTATGTCCTCTTGATCCCGATCATTGCATGTGTGGGCACTGTTTATCTCCGTCTACGCTGTCCAGACCTCTCGTGAACTTCAACACCTTAATTAGATTTCCTTTCGGCTTTCTCACCTCCAAGGAAAATAGTCCCACTTCTACAACCTACCTTCATAACTGAATCATTCTCATGAGTTTTGTCTGCACTGTCTTCAATGCCTCAACGTCCTTCATAAAATGCAGCATTTGGTTGAACTATGACCATAAAAGTACATCCCTTGCATACATTCTAGTCAGGTTCACTTCATTCATAT